AAGAGCCACAGGTTGCAGAACCCTGGATTAGAGACTGAGGTGAAAGTTCACCCTCCAGAGAGCAGAGCTTCCTGGGTCCTGGCTGAATTCAGTTAACATTTGAGATGACATGTTGCTAATTGTTGCTTAATAAATAAGCTGAATTAAACTGAAATGCACGAACAGAACTGCAGTCAAAGCTGGTTCTTCCTTCTTAGTGGTTTTTATTAGAGGGAGGGACATTATTAAGGCCATTGCTGGGGAAAAAAAGTCAACCTCTGCTGGTGGTTAATTTTTAGCACCACGCTGCAAAAAACATCTAGAAATAAGTAAAAGATGTCTTAAATTAAGTGTATTTACCCTTAATTTGAGCAGCCAAAGAAGATGATCTGCCAATGGAATGAGTATTTTTACTCCTAAAATAAGATAATTAGATAATATACACTTGAAATAAGAAAAAGCAATAGTTATTTTTCTTATTTTAAATGTAAATTGTCTTGTTCCATTGGCAAAGTGTCTCACTTACCTCCTCAATTCAAGAAAAAATACACTTAATTTGAGCAAAAATGACTTGAGCTGTTTACTTCTTGAGGAAGTCGCTATGTTTGTGTGAGCGACTGGCTCTGTGTGGAGCGCTCGGCTTGCAGTTGGACTATTCCAACCTCCACCCTCACTTTGATGCTTTTCTTTTCTCTCTAGGGAGCAGCAACGTCTGACCTGTCCAGTTCATCAGAGAGCATCTTTCACCAAGAGAAGAGCTTCCTCTGTTCTTGGGACTGGACGTCTAACCAGCAAAAGATTCAGGAAAAAAAACAAACCCTAACGTAGGCTAATATCTGAGAAACGTCTCCAAAACCCCCCAACGCATAACCCTGTTGGCTTTTCATTTACTAACTTCAAAACAAAAACAAGAAGAAAAAAAAAACTTGTGTAATCAACAATCAGATCAACAAAATGAGTGAAAAAAGAAAACTTTGAAAAAAGAAAAAAAAAAAAGTTCTGTCTGTGAGTGATGCCATGATTATTCTGCACACCGGTCCTTTCTCAAATCTCCCACTTAGCTTGTAGAAACGTTTTTGATTTCTTTAGTTTTTTTTTTTTTTTGGGGTTCTGTTCCCACCGTTCCGACAGGGAACCAGGTTCCGGCGGGCGGTGCCGTCTGAATGGTTGCGCATGTTCCTCTGTCCGTCCAGCCAGCCGCACTCCTGTTTTTAGTCGCGTAAATCGACCGCTATCACATCCTCTACTTTCCACGTTGACTTCAGAGAGAGAATAAAGGACAGAGTAGAGGTTTTTATTTTAGTTCCCTAACGATTTCAGATTTAATTGATCTAGTTTGTACAACTTTCTGAATGTGAAGTAGAGAATGTGTTGAGCTTTCTGAATATCCTCCGCTTTCCCTGTGTGTGAAAAGTTGTCTGATTTCTGAATGGTGATAGTCTTTTAAAGAGATAGTAGTAGATATAGTGTGGTTTGTGAGGTAAATCTTAAAAAGAAAACCATTAATCAGAGTTTTTTTGGGGGGGAAATGCAAATAGTTTAATTCAAACTGCAATTCTGTTCAAATTGGTTTCATAAAATACAGAAAAAAGGAGGTGGTGAGACTACAGACATTTTAGTTTTTCCTTTTATTCTTATATTTTGGTGAATTCTATGGTACAAAATTTCGGTGCTATGTTCCAAAAATCTTTTTTTGAATTCACTAATAAAGTTTTTTGACGTAGTTTTGTTTTTTTTTTATTGCAAAGATTTGAACGAGAACCTTTAGACTGACCAGTTCTTTCGCTTTGCGTCGTTTATTCCGACCAGAACCGGCCGCTAAAGGCTGCGGCGGAAACATCTCTGCAGACGGTCCACGCTGCGCCGGTGGACTCGGTAGGAAACGTCAAACCAAAAACCAACAGGAAGTACTCAACGCTTTTTTTTTTTTTTTTTAATGTGAGGTGTGTTTTTCATTTTCTTTGGGTTTACAATATATCCTGTTGAAATATTGATTCATGTCTCTCTGTTTTGTGTGTGGTGGTGTAGAACTTGTGAAGACACTGGTTCAGCCTGAGTGTAGTACAATTTTTTATTTCAGAGAAACAGGAAACAGCTGCAGAATCTCAAAAGATGGAAATAATCTGAAAACCTTTAAACAAACCCCTCGCTAGGATTAAAAAAAAATTACTCTAATTTAAAAAAAAATGATTATTTTTCTTCCTAAAATGTAATTTATTTTTCATAAAGATAACGAGGATAATAATATAAGTAACCCTAATTGCCACGAGCACCACGAAGGTGAAGCACAGATTAGTGAAATCATCCTTTTGTTTGTGTCGTCATGCGCTGTCTACGCAAAAAGATGCGGCTTCCACTTTAAAGTGCGAATTTTAGTTCAGGCAAGTGGTACTTTAAAACAAAAAAAAAAATAAAAAAACACCTTCAAGTAGTGGAATGAAGCAAACTTAACTTCAGGGTCTTGTCCCCTTTCCTTAACAGTCAAGATACTCAGGAATTTTTTAATGTAAGCATAACCTACACTCAGACCTGTGACAGTGCAGTGATGCATTAATGTTTGTTTTTGTTTTTTTTTGTTTGGGGTAGAGCAGAAATTGGTGACAGAAGTTGTTTTCAAGCATACGGCTGTAATGACTGTCATTAATGTAGAGCTATCTGTTTTAATTTCAATTTAAAGAATAAAATCGAAGCCATTGTTGATTGCATAAACATGGTGGGAAGGGAGTCCAGGAGCCCTGAGTTCTATGCAATAGCTTGGCGCATGTAAACATTCAAAAGTATAGGGACAGACGTCATGCAGCTAATTATGCATGTGGGTTACTTTTGAGTGAGGGACGCCTGAGAAACACGACGGAATGTCTCTGAGAAATAACGCATGCAAACATCACACTCCATTGCTTTTGAGTTGGATGAAACACTTTTTATCAGCACAATAAAAAAAAGAAGTATAAATCGGTGAGAGAATGTTTAGAAGCGTGTGAGCGTGTGTGAATGTGTCACAAAAAGCACTTACATTGGATGGATAGCATTACATCATTCTCCTCCAAACTTGTTTTATAAGCTGTTTAAAACCAGGAAATGGAAAAAAAAAAATGTCAGGCAGGAAAAAAGAAAAACAAACGGTGTTCAGGGATTGTATATGTTTCTGAGAGGAGGTGGGTGTTCTGATGGGGTTTGGAATATATATACGGCTCTGAAACCTGGACTTTTTTTTTTTTCCTCGTCTTTTCATTCCCACCCAGAAGATGCTCCTCCAGCCCCCCCAACCCCCCGTCCTTCCTTCCTTTATGACCCTAATAGATGTGTTCTACTTTCATGTACACCATGAGTAAATTATTTTGTTTCATTGTGGAGTTTAACATCTAATAAACAAATAAAGCAAATCTTAAATTGTGTTGCTCCTTACTTTTTTTTATTTTTGTGTGTGTGTGTATATGTATATATGTGTGTGTGTATGTATATATGTGTGTGTGTGTGTATGTATATATGTGTGTGTGTGTG